TTACTGTACACGTTTCGTATATTAAACGTCTATAACCTATTTAACATTTACTTTTAGAGTATTAGTTCGCATAAATGCCGGCACATAGAAATATGAGAGACTTGATTTTGCGGATAATCCCCGGATAATACTCAATTTACACGATTTTGGTGATTGTCACCATAATGGGTACCTGATAGGAATTATTCCTTGAAACGCAGCGCGCGTAACAGCTGCATTGCTAAAGCTAGGGTAAATATGCTGCATTATTTGTAGAGCGCTTAGAGATTTCTGATAAAGTAAGTGTTAGGCGCTATATAAGCACTATAATTATTATAATTATTGATATGAACCGACGGAGGCCCCTCTCTATTCTCTAAAGCTGAAAATACAATATTATCTTGATCGATCAATTCTCCAAGCACAGATGTAGCATTATTTAGAAATAAGTATTTATTTTCCAACCACGGCCCCGTCTTACAAAGAGTTGATATCAATCGCAACTCTACATGAGAGATAGGAGACTACCAACCTGGTATCACAACTATCAACAAAAATAAGTCAAAAATCAAAACCCCGACAAAATGGTGAGAAAAAATATAAATCGGAGGAGCCAAAAAAAAAAAAAAAAAAAAAAAACGGATCACCAGTATAAGATCATTTATTGGCACCAGATGAGGGTTTATGTACTAAAGCTTTGGGCACAGTGCAAACCACAACGTTGACCTTTTCGGAAAATATTGGGATGATTGACTAATAGGATTTAACGTTTTTGTTTAGAAATGTTTTTTGGAGAATACTTTTTGTTTTCATTACAGGTTTAATCCACATGAAAAAAGTACTAAAGGAGCCGAACAGAACGTTGTTACCAATAACAAAGTTAGCAGCTGGATAGTAGTTAATGACACTAAAACAGGTAATATGACTCCAGCGGATACAATTTGGATGGATCTCTAGCAGGATTTGCACCTTGTATAAGCAAATATTATAACATTGATTGTATTTGAATGGGGGCGCTGGCGGCTCCAGGGTTTAGAGAAACATGTACGCGATGCATTTCTAATCGCTATTTCTTCGGCCGTTAGATTCACATATAATAACGGAAACACCTGTTCCATATCCTGGATGGTTTGTTTACAGTATTATTTAAATCGGGGCAGATTAGTAAAGGCACAGTTGTCTTAAGACCCGGTCACACAGAGGGGACGCATGGGGGACGCACGGCTAGCGCATCGGAAATTTGCAATTTGGGCCAGTGCTTTGTCGTTTGCTAGGCGTGCGTCATCATTCGTTACTCGTTCGTCGAGCGCGCTGGACCCACGCTTTGCATTCGTCGTCATTCGCTGTGTGCGTCGGGATTTTTTGAGCATGCTCAAAAGTGTGCGCGGAGCTTGACGCATGAATGTACAAGCCAATTAAAGGCACGCCAGACATGCGTGGAGCGCGCTAAACCAGCGCCAGACATACGCAGAGCACAAGCACTGTAAACGCACAGCGCGCTAGCTACACGTTGTGCATTTTGCATCCAAAATCATGACAAAAGTTAGGCACACGGCCTTTTACGATTTCCAATGCGCGGGCCGCGCGTCGTCTTTGTGTGACCACCTCTGTTGAGAACGCGGTGCATGCGTGGACCATTCGTCAAGCGCGCTAGCAACACGTTGTGCATTCGTGGAAGTTGTTATCATGTGCGCTCTGTGTACGGTCTGTATGCGCACTGTATGCGCCCTGTATGCGCTCAGCGCGTTAGCAACATGCTATGCATTTGGTGTCAGCTCGCTGTAGCTTCGACAAAAGTTGGGCGCACGACAACGCACTGGCCAAAATTGCAAATTTCCAATGCGCTGGCCGTGCGTTCCCCATGCGTCCCTCTGTGTGACCGGGCCTTTAAGCAATAACGTGTCTTTAATACACAAATGTATTTCTTCTTTTATTTCTAAATTTTTAAAGAGAGCAAGCTGATGTGATCTGACCCTTGATCGCCACGCCGTTGTTATAACCTTGTGACGACGTTTATGTAATCTGCATACAATTCGATGCGATATGGCACTCGACCTATACATGATTATGGTTCCCAATGCCTTAGATATGCGGTAAACATTAATAATTAAGCAAGCCAGCCACGCCTTCGGTGCAATGGAAAAATTAGGGCCTGAGAACTCGCCCATGCTCCCTTTCACCCCTCTGGATCTACTACTTCGGTATACAAAGATTATAATGGGGGAAAACTGCGAGTCTAATATTATAGAGCTGTAGAGATTTATTGATACAAAATAATGATTTTATTTGTATGATTGCAGCGATATGAAAACTGTAAAGATATCAGTTGTAGCTTCACTATGGCTTGTTAAAAAGACGCCATTTTACAATCAGCTATCTACATTAAAGGTGAAATCACAAATATGTCAACTAATGTATCACTAGAAACTGGTAAGCTAACAGATGGCCATCGTACAAGTTTTAGGTCAACTACATATCGGGTGATTTATAAAAAATAAAAAAAATACAAATACAACCACCTCCATAGCTGCTAGGATATACGAGAGATTCGCCGGAAAAATAACGATGTTTTAATGACGTTAATTAACAATCAAAGAAACCAGACTTTCAAATGGAAAACCCCCCGGAATGATATTAAGGACGGCAATTGTTCCCTCTTGAAACGCCGAACATACCGCGGTGGGTGCACCTGAAAATACAATGGCGTCTTATTTTGTTTACAAGCGACAGATTCCTTTATTTTTGTATCGCTGCATTTGTCAGCAAAACAAAACCATGCGCGGGGTTTAGAGTGAGGCAATAGATGATAAATTTAGCCTGACAGTAGTAAAGTAAGAGAAAGAACTCAAGAAAAGATGAAAATACAGGCACTGAAAATGTGTGAGATGTCATGGGGCATCGTCTGCTTGAGTAAATCATGTCCATACTGTGATCTTACACATCTCAGCGGCGTTCGGAGAGCTCTTCAGGTGCTATGCCGGTGCTATGGCTTTATTTAAGCGTTTTGTAATTTATGATAATCATTACTTCGAATGTTTCCAAGCATTGAATTTTGATAACCTTGTCGAATCAAAGTTTCAACTTTGCAATAATAATAATAAAGTTCGTTTTTAAAATCAATGAATATATACTTTAACGCATTTGCAGCGTTTTAATAGGAAACGGACACCATCCATTTTAGCCCGCCGAACATTAAAGTGGGCTGACATTTCAATGTTTTGTTAATCGATCATTTATCCTTGCCCTGAGTGTTTCTAAGCAAATAATTATGATTTTCAGCATCAGCATCACTTCCCTTTTATAATGGTGTAAAGTATGTTGATCTTTGAAATTAATCAGGTTATCTTTATTGAGAAATAATTGCAATGAACATATGTTTATTAGTTGTAGGACGTCGCCTGTTTACTTACGATCGGTCCCTGACGTGACGTCATCAAACCATCGCTAATTTTCTTTTTGATGAATTGCTCATATAACCCCGATCCTGAGAGATGGTTTTATTTGTGTTAGTCTTGTTATCTTCTAGAAAACAGTTGACCTACAAATCATACTTGTAATAAATTATTGGCCAATTTGGCGATTTTAATGAATGTCTACTTTAAGAAATACCTCCTCAATACAAATAACATTGTGTAAAGTAGCAAATTCATTTTATTTTCAACTGCATTTTGAAATTCGCAATTTATATTTGTTAGCAAAATTGTTAGGCTTGGTCATTAATGTAAGGTAAATGTTGATGTTTAATGTTTGTAGCCAAAGATGACCTGGTACAAAGTATTGCATTGGACCGTGACTCTCGGAGCAACAGATCGGTAAGACTAAGAGCACTATGTATTTAATGATATTTCCCGGTTAAAACGAACTAAGAGTAATCTGACTTGATCGCCATTCCTTGAACTGTTTCGCAGCAATATTTCCAGTATGATCAGTATCTGTTTCTGATAGTGACAATATTATCGTGGTAGATTCTGTACTGGAATTTCCACACAATGAATAATTTAAATTTGATAAATTTGTAATTATAGGAGAAACATAATAGTCTTGACTTCTATGACTTCTCCAATTATTTAACGTCCTTGCTATTGACTTACATGAAGACCTCACCTCCCTAAAATGATTTAAGTATATTGAAAAATATGATGTATTCCTGCCTAGTGATGTAAAATATTCGTGACGAAAATATAAATGAGATAAATACAAGATATTCTTGGCACGATTTAACGCCTTTTAGTATGACATAGGGATAGCCATTTCTTGATAACATGACGAATCTCATTATGACGTTCTCAAGAAAAGGACGATGCCCATGTCGTGCCGAAAATATTTACATTGCGCTATAAAGAATATGTTGTATACTTTTTTATATCGATGGGCAATAATACAACAAATCTCTCAGAATAACTAAATTTTATTTCTTGGGGTGAGGCTTCCTTTATTTAAGTTCAGATATGGTACTGGAAATCGCTGCACAAAATAAATGATCTGCAATGTTAATGAGTTCTTTGTTAAAAAATACAAAAATATGAAGCATATTACATGTTACGTCATCATGAATAACGGCGGCAAATTTTGCCGCTTCTTAACTGAGAAAAACCCTTGATCAGTAACAGTATCAACAATAGTTGTATTCAGCATTTCTGAACAATTTCTTGAACAGAAGATAAGACTTCGGTGATATACATTAAAGAAGAAAACAACATAAGGTACATCAACACAGTTTCAGCAATAAAAGTAAATAGGACTCTTGCGTATCTGACGCTAAGACTTTTACCAAATTATTCATAACAGTCTGGTATTGCTCTTCTGAAGAATCTTGTAAACATCGGTGTATTTTATAATCATAGTTGCTTAGACTATTGCTGATATTTTAACATAATTACACACCTATTCCTATTTCATAATACGTGTTTCATATAACAAAAAGATAAAAAAAAAATATATTAAACAATTGTGATTAATGCTTTACGACATGAAAAAGTACATTTTTCATTATCTAATGATCAGTTCTACGTATCTGTACAATGCATCGTTTCAATAACAACACTTACATTGTTCTTGCTACGTTAAATCAGGGAGAAACCAATCAACTTGTGACTGGAGGTGCTGATGGAAGCGTAAAGGTTTTGTCTACAAGTGGAAACGAAAAAATTGCTATTATTTCGAAAGCTATTACTCATGAAGAGATCACAAACGTGAAGTCATCGGAACTTGGTATAACCTACAGCATGTGGGACTTTGGAGGACAGGAAATTTACTACATCACACATCCAGTAAGTCCAGAGGCCTAATATATATATATAGAGAGAGAGAGAGATGGGGGAGGGATGTGGTGTTCTGCGACGGAAGAGATTTCAATAGAGACTTAAAGGTAATGCAAAGTTTTGGGACATTTTGAAAATTTTGATAATTTGGATGCCCCTGTGGATGTTTTATATCCACTAAAAAATGTAGCGCCTAGAATACTTCTGTTTTCGAGAAATTGAATAATCCAAAATTTACCGGTGGTCCCGGTAAATTTCAAATACCACCTAAGGCCATTCCATGGTAGTTGTGACCACGAGAACGGGAATTGGTCGATTGTCTACAAGAAACATTGTTTTAAAGGTGAAGTAATATCAGTCTTGAGAGGGCACTATATACAACATAAAGAGTTTATTATATACAATTTCATCACTTTAGACTCGATTTCGACCGCGGCAACGATCATTCAATATTCTAAACTTGCGTATGCTTCCAAATTCATGACTCCTTAATACCAACAATTTGTATTACCTTTAACACAAAATAAAAAACTCTGTTGACAGAGTAATGATGTAACATATTTTCGTCCATGTGTCTTCTGAAGGTTATGATACTGCAAAATACAAGTGCATTAATGAATACATTTAATTTAAATTTATGTGGTAATAGAGCTGTAAGTTTTCGATTCAGAGGCAGTTTTTCAACTTTAAAGTTTGCGAAAATTTCATAAATGGAAGGAAGCAATGTAAAACTTTGAACGTATGCAACCATTATTCTTTTATTTTGTATAGACATATTATACAAATAATTCAAGTTGTATAATCCTCTATCACGGTAATGTACACATTTTGATACATGTATATATCAATATATCAATGGTCAAGCATTTTGAACTATTCTCTCTATACATTTTCTTTACAGCTTTTTCTGTCGTGGCGGGCTCTTTACATTCTTGTTATCCCGCTAAACCTTGAGCTGAGTGAAAGAGCACCGCGCGAAGAAGATGCTGAAAATGCTCAAAAGCAAGTAAGTAGTTTTTATTCCGTTCTTAAGCCTTGGCAGTTGTTTGCCAACCAGCGAACAATGACAACTATCGCTGACTAAATTTGAAATAAGATTTACTCAGCAACATGGCTCTCAGGGGTTTGGAGAAAAGATGCCCAAATCGCCAGGCAGGTGTAGCTTCAGAGGTGCACCAGTCGGGTAACGTGAGAGGCAGTCCGTTGCACGGTGCCGGACACCTGGGACATGGACCTGTATCGCAGGGTTCCTCAGACGAGGGTTGGGGATGTCTGCTAGGGAGCGGTCAGTGAGGATCTTCAGAAGGGCTTGTGGTCGACAGCAAGGCTGAAGTCCTCACATCCAAGTACGAAGTATCTAGCCTTGTCTAGGGCATCAGCCACGGCGAGGGCCTCACCTTCGATCGGAGCATAGCGTGATTCAGCGGCGTGCGTGAACCTGCTGCCTACAAGCGTGATTTGCCACCCCGTGGGCTTGCTCGGGTCAAAGATTCTCACACCCTCCTCGATTTCATTGGCGATAATGGCTTTGAATTAATCAAAGGCTTCATGATGAAGGCATACGACACTTGATTGGCCAAGTCCAAACCAAGAGCGCACGTCGGCGATGTTCTTTGGTGTAGGGAAGTCCAGGATGGCATGTAAGTATTTCTTGCATGGACGGACACTGTCGGGGGTGATCTCAAATCCAGCAAACTCGACAACATCTGGGCATAACACGAACTTGCCAGGGTTGATGGTAACACCATTTCGACCGCAGACATCCAGCCACTCTACAGCTTGGAAGTAGCTACCCGCCAATGTGTCTGTCCATTGCAGAGCGTCATCCACACATTCGGTTTTGTTGTGAATGTCCGACACGATCTCATCATAACGTCTGGTATATCCATCACCGGAGGCAATGTATCCTTAAGGGGCCGTCTTGTAGCGGTATTTGCCCTAGGGGGTAATGAAGGTGGTCAGGTGACGGTCCTCTCTGCAGAGTGACACGCCATGGTAACCATTCCGTGCATCAAAGACAGTTTTCTGCTTATTGTGTGGGACCGACCGAGCCTGGTGGAATGGTGATGGTGAGTGGTGTGTCCCGTGTGTAGCGTGGGCGTTGAGTGCCTATAAATCGACAGTTCGTCTCGGTTTGCCTTTCTTCTTTACGAAATTTCCATCCAATGACACAAGGTAACATGCTCACAAATAGGGACCGGTTCCAGAACACCCAACTGCACGTCATGATCCAATCCTGCTTTCACAGCATCCCGCCAGTGGAGTGGAACGGGTACTGGTGTGTGATGCGCAACTGGCTCGGCATCGCGGTCGACCATCAGTTTCAAGGGAGGGCTGGCCATGAGGGTCAAGACTTGATGTTCACAAGTGTTGAATTTGCTCGAATGGTAGTACTTGAGGAGGTGCTGTTGCAGCTTCATACGATTGTCATCAGTGTCAGGAATGGCAGCTTTGTCGGAGGTGGGGGAGGCCGTTCACGCCTGGAGCAGATACAAGTTCCTCCCGAGCCGTCTTGGAGGGCTGCTTGCGTCCCTACCTGGTAAGCCGGCTGAGCCGTACCCAACTTAGGGAAGGTATTAGGGATGATCCCTAGGGTTCATGCATGCCTCCTTGCTGAGGAAGAGCTTATCAGAGCTGTCCGTGACGTATGTCATTTGCCAAGTTTCAATAACCTGTCCTCGCTCGCCTCTGGCAGAGAAACGGATGATGGCGGCCTGAAGGATCCGGATGCCGCCTTTTGTAGCGGTGCGTATCTTCATGTCGACTGGTAGGAGATCCGAATGGCAAAACCCAAGCGGTGGATGACATTAATACCAGCTAGGCAGCTCTGGCACCCTGTGTCTGCCATAGTCTGCTCCGTGTCTGCATCAAAGACAGGACCTTTGTTATCACTTGGGGCACCGGGTGACAAACGTTTGTCCTTACTGCGGCATACGCTCTCCATGCGATTCGGCCTATCACAATGTGTGCACCTGTGGCCATATGCTGGACAGCGAGTTTCACGGATGCTGGCCGGGGCAATCTTCCCGTGTCCTCTCCTTAATAGTTGTCTGCTTGGCTTTCCTGTAGGTGCTGCTAGCCGCGTAGTTAAGGTCGGCGTCACAGCCGGGGCTTTGGATGAGGAGCTTGCAGATGTCTACCTGGCCACGTAGGCGGGCCCATAACTGCGGACTGTTTCATCTCGGTCATTGCGCATGTTATGTGCTACACGGGCCATCATAGAGTTCTCTTAACGGATTGCCATCTTTTTGATGGCTGCCAGATCATCGCCCACGGGTTTGCCGGTCAGACTCCCACCAGCTGATCTTGAGAGGTGTTTACGTAGTGGCTCGTCGCAGCTTCGGGCAGCTGGATAACCTTGTCCTTGCCGGTGAACTTTGTGGCCGCGACATAATCAGTCAATTGAGACAAAAAGTATGCCCGTTTGTCACTTGAGCCAGCCGCAGCAACTGTAGGGCGTTTAACCTTCCCCACCTTGGCGGCAGGTCAAGCGCTGTGGAAAGCGCTGTGGGCAGTGATTAAGGCAGCTACGCTGGCGGTATGAAGGTCCGGGGTAGTGTACTCACACCCATGGATGGGGCAAGCGACGACAGGCATGGTTGATAGTCACCGTGATCATAATTAAGATCTGGCTATTTGTGTCAGTCGGTCAGTAGACTTCAACAATGATCTGTGAACAAATAGATAAAAGAAAATACCCTTAATTAAGATCAAAATATAACATAATCCTCTAGGAATAACTGCACGATCACGAACTTGCTCGCGGCATTTTGAAAAATAACAATTTCAAAGTGAGGAGCATGCAGAGGGATTCCCCCAATTATTTATTCTTGAACGATCATGAACTTTGAAAAAAATCAATGGAAGTCAGTAGCAACCATCAAGAGAGGAGTCTAGAAAAAGCTTTCGCAAACGTATAATCATATTATGCCTGGGCAATTCCTCTCTTGCGCTTGCATTTGACGAGCGCGGTACACGTCTTATGCACGCGCAATATACCGCGCGCGCGGGATACTTAAAGATAAACTCCAGTTCTGGTAAAAAAGGGATATTAATTCTCACAGAATCAAACGAAACTTACACTGAATGTTCAAGATTACAAATAAATGACATGTGCCAAACAATTTCGGAAGAACATGTATACTGGCTGAGTAATGAGCATAGAGAGACAAGGAAATCAAGGTAGTACTAGCCCCGACACCATGTGTGTTGTCCTATATATATATATATATACATATATATATATATATATATATATAGCTCTCTGTGTATAGTGCTTGTTACTTTACCAAGACTCGGTCAAATTTATAATGATTTTGGTGACTCCAGAACCTTGCAGTGCACACCAATACTTACATGCTACATGATCAACTGTTTCTGATCCTGTCCACACCTTTTCTTTCACAATGCAAACGCATTACCAGTAATAAAGTTTATCTTTAAGAACATAAACTATATTCAGCGCGCTTAACTATACAGAGGCGGTACGGATTATCTTTTTCTTTTTCTCTACCCCCTATATTCTGAAGGAAAACAAAAATATTTTCATATTCCCATTTTTTAAAATTTCTTTTTTTCAAAATGCTGAAAAGACCGGAGTTATTGATGAAATCCATCAAGCAGATATTCATTCTTTCATTGGTGTTTATTCAAAATCATCATCACAGGAATATCCCAGAATCATGTACCACAACTTCAGTGCTAAAAAATGAAGAAAAAAAATATAGTCAGACAATTCTTCAACATAATGTATATTATATTGATCAGAAGTATACGATTTGCATTACCTAGCTAAATTATGTTAAATTATCCAACTGTTGATTATTTCAGTTGTTAAAATATTGTATTCTGATTTGGGTTTGAGCCCTGTATTCTGTTGTATGTACCACAGCATTTATGAAAAATGTTTGCTTGTACAATACTGATAACATTGACAAGATGATATATTATATATATTAATTTTATTATGATATATACAGTAATCGTTCTTTTAATCATAAGTCACTACTCACTAGCCTTACTTCGGATTTAATGTACATGTTTTGTGTTTGAACGCCCTCTAGAATTTGCTGGGGATGGCATGTGTCATGAATCTGAATATGTCTTCCTTTCAGCCTAAATGTAAAACACTGGCTTAAAATGCTGGATTGAATGAACACAGTAAATATTTTAATTTTATTTTGAGGAGCTGTGTTCATGTTAAATATAATCTAAGCAGATCAAATTGACACAATACCGCAATTGACGATTACAATTTCACTTTTTATCTGATATTTCAGTTGAAAGGGTCGGCTGTAAGAACGCACCGTACCATTCTGGACTTGGTGAATTTCTGGTTGATGTCAGTCTATACCCATGCAGTACCAGATTCTCACCTAGACTCGACATATGAACCTAAGGTCTTGATAATAGGGACGTTTTCGGGTGGTGAGAGCACGCAAATTAGCAAGAAGAAGGTAAGGTAACTTTTAAAAAGGAAGCTATGAATGTGTTATATCATTATTTTACAAGAATAGCATTTGCATTCATAAAATCGCCTTACACAGATTTTAGAGAAAAAGATAAAAGGAGGCTGTTTATTTTATTAGTTGGACTGGGTTAATGGACATTATTTTTGTCCAGGGTAACATACTGGTATTATTGATATGCGAACGTCGTTATTTATATCAAATTATTTGTTTGTCATTATTATTTTCAATTAATTATTATGAGTTAATTTAATTAGTTATTCTTGACGCATGTTATCAATTACCTTTATCTCGAAGAATATAATGCACGAAAGATCCAGAAGTAAAAGGGGGAGGGAGAGAGGGGGGGGGGGGTTCCTAGTAACAATCAAATGTAGGGAAATATTAACCATATATTTGATTTATACGCAGTTGGATTCCAAAGTTCAAGAACTGATGGACCTAATAGGATCCAAACCCTATCGGAAGCAAGTTCTCTTTCCCATATGTGTGATTGACAATCAATTTTCTCAAAGGTCTGAAGTAAGTTATGGGTTAATGATGATATATACATAACGCGATATTACAATGCGCTTTACAATTTTAGCCTTAGTCCATCTCATGAACAATTTAAAGTTAAAAAATTATCTCCAAAAACATTATTATACCCGTGGACACATGGGGTCTCTAATATCAAATGAAAACATACTATCCGATATGATATTTTGCTGTTCCATTCATCGTTATTGTTATGACATAGACTATTTACAATGATATCGTCTTATTTAGGCACATCGGTATTGATATAGCTCTTCATGCAGGCACTGCAATTTGTTATTACTCTACCAATGCCAAGCACACGTTTACACTTGGGTGGAGTCTCAGTCGGACCAAAACAAATTGAATTGTTTCATTTTTGAGGCAAACAGTAGTGGTAATTAAATTAAAAAAATTGCATTTTCAGAATAAGCTTACATTGACTTTCAAATTTAAACTCATGTGTGCTTTTGAGTGATCGATGAATTGATTGATTGGTTTAACTGACGGATCTCTTTTTCATTTTGATTATTTGATCGATTACTTACAATTCAATATGGACCATCCTCAGATCATTGGAGATTTTATTTTTCAAGGTAATGCCATGTTACATCTTTACCAACTCACCAAAAAGTTATACTTCAAAACACACTCAAAAGTAGTTAATTACCCACTCATGCTTGATATGATATGTAAGCACACATATAAATTTAATAGAGATGTTTTTTCATAGATTGTCTTTTATAATGATCAGAACATTAACAATGTCTAAAGCCCCTTTCACACCGGATCTGCGTAGAGTTGCGTAGTGTTTCGTACCGACTACGCCGAAGTTAAGCTGCGTACTCATGAATAAATTGATGCTTCGGCGTAGTCCCTGCGTAGGTTATGCGTAGGCTTGCGTACGATCGGCGTATAGTTACGTACCCTGTGCGTAGGCACCGCGTACCTTCGGCGTAGGCAATTGGCGTAGGGTTACGTACGGTTGCGTAGGCCTGGCGTAGGGTTGCTTACGGTTGCGTAGGCCTGGCGTAGGGTTGCTTACGGTTGCGTACGGTTGCTTACTGTGGGAGAAAATGCCATGTAAAAATGCAATAGACGCTCGTAGGAGCCGCGAGTATAGCCATTGGCGCTTTATAAACATATATAATAAAAAAAATATGTTAAAAAACAGTTCAATTTATTGTATAAATAAACCGGCAGTGTACAAAGAATTGTACATGTTATTACATGTGAACATAACTTGATCTTAGTATGATAATAACATTCTGACAAACTGTGACATCCAAGGGGCAGTGGGTCTCTTTTGCATGCGTGAAATAGGGCTGAAACGCTTGCGTAAAATAGTGAGTGCAGAAAATAACATTTATAAACCTGCAATAAGTTTTACTAGTAAAAAGTGGCATTCGGTACACGTTTTTGACCGTTAAATTTTCAGTTTTTTAGTAGGTATTAGCAACTGCTGAGGTTATTTTGCAGTAATGTTAATTTGTTCAAGATTTCATTTTCCAAAAAATGCAGACATTTTTGTTGATGTACTACATTATTGTACTATGTATCATTCAAAAGGGTAATATATGAACTTTCTTTTGATTAACATTGCAAGGTCACGTGATGTGATTTGATACCTCAAAACGCCAACAAAAGAGAGCACTTATTTTGATTTGTGAATAAATGTGGACAGCAGTCTGATATTTGTTGACCATATCTCTTTTTTCACTCATTTGTAAAATATCATTCCATAACAGTTTCCTGAAAGTTTGAAGACGATATCCGTTGTCCTTGGTCCGTAGCGTATTTGTGTGTGACAATGTAATGATATAAATGTTAGTCATTTATTAAAATTAAAGAAATACTTCTGACATACACACTCACTCAGTCTCACTAACAGAGTGAGAAAAAATTATTTCTTTGCTCATTTCAATTAAACACATTATATTACAAACATACAAACAGGACCACAAACGTACACACAAGCAAACAAACCGACACAAATACATACAGATTTCCACAAAACATAATAAAATTTTCGCATGAGGCATCAGTTTATGAATCTTATCTCTGTTTATTATATCAACAGCCTGAGATGTCAATTATCACAAATTGAATAAATCATAACAAAACAAAAAATGTCAGTCTGAAATACGTTGTAGTAGTACAAACAGAACAACAAGCAAGAATGATCAATGATCAATATCTGCCAAGTTTACATCCAGGTCCTAAAAAAATTCTTTATACCATACGTTTTTAATGCTTCGTCTGACTGGCGTAGGGTAGCGTATTGTTGCGTAGGCTTGGCGTACAGTAGCGTAGGCTTGGCGTACAGTTCCGTAGGCTTGGCGTACAGTTGCGTAGTAAAGTCTACGCCGAAAGGGGCTTTCACACCGGGCCTTGCGTAGAGTTGCGTAGAGTTGCGTAGAGTTGCGTAGCGACTACGCCGATCGTACGCAACCCTACGCCGATCGTACGCAACCCTACGCAACTGTACGCGGAGGGACGCGAATGGGTACGCGAGATGAACGCAAAAAATTAAACATGTTTAATTTTTTTCGCCTACCTTCGGCGTAGACTTTACTACGCAACTGTACGCCAAGCCTACGCAACTGTACGCCAAGCCTACGCAAATGTACGCCAAGCCTACGCAACAATACGCTACCCTACGCCAGTCCGACGAAGCATTAAAAACGTATGGTATAAAGATTTTTTGGGGGACCTTGATGTAAACTTGGCAGATATTGATCATTGATCATTCTTGCTTGTTATTCTGTTTGTACCACTACAAGGTATTTCAGACTGACATGTTTTGTTTTGTTATGGTTTATTAAATTTGTGATAATTGACATCTCAGGCTGTTGATATAATAAACAGAGATAAGATTCATAAGCTGATGCCTCATGCGAAAATTTTATTATGTTTTGTGGAAATCTGTATGTATTTGTGTCGGTTTGTTTGCTTGTGTGCACGTTTGTGGTCCTGTTTGTATGTTTGTAATATAATTTTGTTTAATTGAAATGAGCAAAGAAATATTTTTTTGTCACTCTGTTAATGAGACTGAGTGAGTGTGTATGTCAGAAGTATTTCTTTAAATTTAATAAATGACTAACATTTATATCATTACATTGTCACACACAAATACGCTACGGACCAAGGACAACAGATATCGTCTTCAAACTTTCAGGAAACTGAAAAGAGATATGGTCAACAAATATCAGACTTCTGTCCACATTTATTCACAAATCAAAATAAGCGCTCTCTTTTGGTGGCGTTTTGAGTTATCAAATCACATCACGTGACCTTGCAATGTTTATCAAAAGAAAGTTCATATATTACCCTTTTCAATGATACATAGTACAATAATGTAGTACATCAACAAAAATGTCTGCATTTTTTGGAAAATAAAATCTTGAAAAATTAACATTACTGCAAAATAACCTCAGCAGTTGCTAATACCTACTAAAAAAGCTGAAAATTTAACGGTCAAAAACGTGTACCAAATGCCACTTTTTACTAGTAAAACTTATGGCAGGTTTATAAATGTTATTTTCTGCACTCACTATTTTACGCAAATTGGCGTTTCAGCCCTATTTCACGCATGCAAAAGAGACCCACTGCCCTTTGGATGTCACAGTTTGTCAGAATGTTATGATTATACTAAGATCAAGTTATCTTCACATGTAATAACATGTACAATTCTTTGTACACTGCACAGTTCATTTTTATATATATAACATATTTTTTTATCATATATGTTTATAAAGCGCCAATGGCTATACTCGCGGCTCCTACGAGCGTCTATTGCATTTTTACATGTTATTTTCTCCCACAGTAAGCAACCGTACGCCAGGCCTACGCAACCGTAAGCAACCCTACGCCAGGCCTACGCAACCGTACGTAACCCTACGCCAATTGCCTACGCCGAAGGTACGCGGTGCCTACGCACAGGGTACGTAACTATACGCCGATCGTACGCAAGCCTACGCATAACCTACGCAGGGACTACGCCGAAGCATCAATTTATTCATGAGTACGCAGCTTAACTTCGGCGTAGTCGGTACGCAACACTACGCAACTCTACGCAGATCCGGTGTGAAAGGGGCTGAAGGTACGCGAAAAAAATTAAACATGTTTAATTTTTTGCGTTCATCTCGCGTACCCATTCGCGTCCCTCCGCGTACAGTTGCGTAGGGTTGCGTACGATCGGCGTAGGGTTGCGTACGACCGGCGTAGTCGCTACGCAACTCTACGCAACTCTACGCAACTCTACGCAAGGCCCGGTGTGAAAGCCCCTCACGACTCTCAACTTTGCGGATACCAGCCAGACCAGACATCACTTTACAGTCAAGCCTGGATATTGCATCCTTTTTGAAAAATATGGCTTGTGCTCATTCAAGCGTGAAATATCATCAGTTCTTTTTGGTGTAATGTGATAGAAGAGACCCTAAGTTATCCACACATTGGACAATTTTCTGACGATATTTTGTAAATCGTAAATCGGGGCGAACATTTGTAACTTAAGCTTTTATCCTTTAAAATATTCTCTTTAGAGGTATTCGTGATCATTTTGATCAACTTCAGAAACTTCAGAATCGAGCAGGAAGAATTATTCTTCAGGTTAAACCTGGTGAACACGTATCTATTCAGCAGATTCACGATACCTTGGATTGGGAAACCCTAAAATCGCGACGTCGGAGACATATGTGTTCGTTACTGTTTAAAACATTTCATGAGCTAGCACCTAAATATATGACTGATAAATTTGTATTTAACGAAAAGTGTTACGGGCTAAGATATAATGACAATTTAATGCTTCCGAAACCAAGAACCAATCAATGTAAACGTACATTCTTATATCGTGGATCCGTGTTATACAATGAACTACCTATTAAGCTCCGTCAGTTAGGCACACTTAATTTGTTTAATAAACATGTTCAAAAATGCTTCAATTATTTTGATATTTAAATTTCGCAATCCCATTGGCTTTTGCCATAAACATAATCAATTTAATA